GGTTCCCTCTCACCATGCTAGTGAAAAGCATTCTTAGGTTGTTTTTCGGTGCAGCACAAATGCCGAAAGAAGAAATTTTGTAGTTTTCAGGTTTTGTGAAAATTATACCTTTGCGATGAGGTTGGCGGTGATGTCGAAGGCGACAAGGAATCAAAATGCACAAAATCTTCCTTTTGATTTTTCTCTCCCCTTCTCTTTTTTCTTTTTATTTTCTTCTTTTTTCTTTTTTATTTCTTCTCTTTATTTTCTTTTTCTTCTTGTTTTTAACTAATAATAATATTAATAAAAAATAACATAAAGCTACTATAGGTAGTAGGGTTCTGAATGAAAAACAATGGCGCTCGAAGGCTGTATGTAAAAAAGGGTGTGGAGTTATTGCAGTTGAGGAGGAAATTAAAAGGAATATTGTGGCTGTAGTGTGGGGAGCTCAAAGGTGTTCAAGTGGAAGGCGACCTTCGTGCTTATGTATGGAGGTGAATTAAAAGTGGAACCAATTTCACGCCAAGTTATTTTGGGGGTAGGAATCGACCCCTACATGTTCCAAGAAATTGCAACTTAGAACATCTTAAGTTTATGATACTTAGAGCACTGAAGTACTATCCTTCGAAGTATTCTGTAAAGTTAGTCTGTCAGGTGCCTGTTGGAAATGAGTATGTCGCTTCGGAAGTTGAGGATGATGAAGTTTGTGAAGTTCTATTATGCCAAGCTGCAACATAATTTCTTATCATGTACGTTGATGTCGAAGAGATTGACGTATCAAGAGATAGTATTAACCCTCCAAATTTACAAAGATATGAAACTTCATGCCCAGCAGAAAGGGATGATGTGGTCGCTGGTCCTTCAAGGGTAGAACCAGTATAAGAGTTACTTGACTGGTAAGTTCCCAAGATCACTTATTACTAATTATTTAGTACAATATTTTCTTATTCATTTGTTAAATGATCATATTCCTCTCAATGTAAATATACAGAGAACTAGGAAATGCAGGAACCTCCGCATCCTTGTACACAATTAATTCCTTCGGATCATTGCCATTATGAGAAAATGAGCAGTGGCTCTAGCGAGCAATCCTTCGATGATGAAGCTGATGATCTTGAACTGAAGTTCAATGAAGGAGTTGTACATAATGATGAAGAGATCAGAAATGTCATCCAAGATTACTGCTGTAGATCAATCGACAGTGAGGACCCAATGATATCAAATAATAACTGTGCTGAGACCTGTAGGACAACAAAAAAATGGGATCAGGAAGTTGAGCTTGATGTTGTTAATGATGAGGTGATAGTTGAGGATGAATTCTCAGTTCCTAATGAATTAATTTAAGGAATGTGCTTTAGCAAAAATAGTGATATTCAATTTGCATTACAAGACTGGTCATATATAAATAATGTGCAATATGTTTTAATTGCATCGAATACACATAAATTTATAATTTGTTGTGCAAAGCATGATAATCCGGTGTCTCCTTGCATATGGCGGCTTCATTCTGCTAAGAGCAAACGATTAGGTGGTATATGAAAAATCTCTTCTATAAAGAACCATCATACTTGTGCCACTCCAATTCTTGAAAGTGGTCATCGTCAGTGCAACTCTCAATTTATTAGTTTCTACATACTACCCACCATTAGAAAGTAGATGGACTTGAAGCCTAGGGAGATTATAGGTCGCATGGAAGCTAAGTTCAATATTAAAGTTTTATACATGAAGGCCTGAGATGCTCGACGAAAGGCTATTAAGGTTGTTTTTGGGAGTTGGGAGGAGTCATACCATACTCTCAATTTATTCATGGATGTTATTGCCTCTGCAATGCCACAAATGGTATATAGAATACAAAGCTCACAGGCCAATAGATTTCAAAGACTATTTTGGGCATTTGGTCCTTATGTTACTGGATGGATGTATTTTCGGTCAGTTCTTAGTCTTGATGGCACATTCCTTCTCAGTAAATATCGAGGTACATTATTAATTGCGATTGGATTCAATGCTAATAATGCGCTTTTTCCTCTTGCATTCGCTATTGTTGAGTCAGAGTGTACTGAATATTGGATATGGTTTCTTCGGCAACTAAGTGAGCTACTACCGAATGTTACAAACATACAATATCTATGTATAATATCAGAGAGGAATGCAGGTTTAGTAAGAGGTTATAGGGAAAATTTCCCTAATGCAGCTCATCGACACTGCTTACGATATCTACGAGAGAATTTCAAGAAAGCAATACGTCAGATGGGGATAAGTGACATAGAATTTATGTGTTAAAAATGTATACAACAGGCAATTATGATGAGCCACGTGTTTATCACAGATGCATGGAAGATATAAAGAAAATCAAGCAAGATATCTACTAATGGCTGGAGGATCGAGATGTAACCCGATGGTCCTTAACACATGATGGTGGATTTAGATATGGTGTTATGACAACGAATGCGACAGAGTCTTTTAATGGTGTATTGAAGAGAGCTCGAGGTTTGCCAGTTCAATCCTTGATCACAGCCATATACTATAATGTTGTTACAATATTCATGAGGCAGTTAGATTTCACTACATCTTAGGAGAGGCAAAAAAATTATTTCTTCGTGCCACGAGTACAAACAACACTTAGAAGGGTTGAGGAGGAGGTAAGAAGAATGTCATAACCAATTAGGCTTAACATGCACGAAATTTCAGGTTTTGGACATGTCATCCAGATCTTATTGTATCGACTTACTTGATCAAGTGCACTTATGGGAAACCTTTGTTGTTTCACATACCGTGTGCACATGTGATATATTATGTAGCAATGTTAAGTCAAACACATTTATATTATGTTTCTTCATACTAAAAGATGAGCAATTACAAGTTAACTTATTCTACATAATTTCACCATATCCCCAATAAGGATGAATGACATCAACATGAACCTACTGTTGGTTTGTTCCCACTTCTCCCCCCAAACTATCGCAGATGGTCAAGTCGTCCAAGGACTAATCGGTATCGCAATACAATGGATGAGTCACGGCTACGGAGTAACAGGGTTTGTGGAACTTGTCATTAAGATAGTCACAACATAGCCACTTGCCCAATAAGACTTGGTCGTAGAAACTAGTATTCATTTGTTTGTCGTAGTAGAAGTGATTGTATGTGTATTTGATCTATTATATGGTTAACAACAACAACAACATCAAGCCTTTGTCCCACAACAATGATCTATTATATGGGTGATGTAACTTAAACATTTGCTGAGCTCGTGCTAAGACCAACTACTACATATATGATAATTTTGCATAACTTGTTGATTTTTTTTTTATTGGTAAATACTGATCAGAAATAATTTTTTTTAATGACAGGGGTAAGTTGCCCGTTTACTATTATCACCATTTTATAATCCTTTGCTCGCTCAACATAACAGACAACTGACTCAGCTAAACCTAGTTAGCATAAGTCGCCCCGTTAATTGGCTATTTTGCCTATTTTTAATTTTTTAAAACATGCTTAAGCTCTTAATACAATTTATAATCATGCTTAGTCTTAAAAATTTCCCTTTTTTATTCACTCTATCATCCTCACATAATTTTCATTCGGATTTGGATGAGATTGGTTTTCAAGTTTATTTATTTTTTACTTTCTTAGAACGCTTTATCAATCCTTTTTTTTAGATATACTAATTATATCAACTACAACTTGAATAAATGCTTAAAATAAAAATTTCTATGTTTTTAATAGATAAGTTAGTGAAAATAAACTTGTTTCAACTCAAATTGTATTCTCTCTCTCTCTCTCTCTCTCTCTCTCTTTCCATAATGATGGATATAGCACATAAAAAAAGATTATTTATATCAAAGAAATGAGTAAAAGTCAAATACCAAAAAATGCTCATAATATCCCAAAATTTTTAGTAGTCTTTAATGCACAAGTGTACTAACTGCCATAGAATATGCAAATCTTAAGTTTCAAAAAATTGAGATTCAACTAAATAAAATTAAGACTTCATTTGGATGATTTTTTTAATATTTTTTAAAGTAAATTTTTAATACAATTTTTTTTTTAATAAAAAAATATTTTAATAAGCAGAAAAAAAATCGTATAAGCCAAATTGCTTATATAACAGCATTTTTTATATCCCTAACAACAGCTTTTTATCCTACCTATGAATCTAGCAGCACATGTAACGTGGTAAGCAGTATGCTAATTAAACTTCCACCCTACAAAGATCTTAGCATACAGCAACCTAGCTTAGTTTTTCCCACCTACGGGCTTCAGCCTTTATAAAGAGCTAATTTGGGAAATTATTTTAACTCTTTTATTATTTCTATTATTTTCATATTTTTATTTGATTATAATTTTTTATAATTTATTTATAATTTCTATTAAAATAATAAATTTTTATAATTAAATTTTCTGAGAATGTGATGATATAATAAAACAATTATTCAATTTTTTTTAAATCTTTAATTTTTCCACTTTTTTAAAACTTTAATTGTTATCTATTATAAAGTTAAGAAAGCTCCCTTAATTAGGGTTGTCAATATTAAACATGATCTGAAAATCCGACTCGAATTTGATTCAAAAATTTTAAGTTCGGGTCAACTAGTTTGTGAAATGGGTTGGGTTCGGATTTAACAATTCGACCCGTTTTAAAAATCGGTTCTGGTTCGGGTTGACCCGAAAACCCAGAAATGACCCGGATTGACCCGCGCTGCGTCTGCCCGCTGCCTGCGGCCCGTGTAGCATAGCGTCTACCCAATGCCCGCGTGACCATGTTGAGTATGCCTGCATTACGGCGCCGCCTCGCATAACTCTATGCCGCCGTCGACGCGAGCCCACTGTGCCACGCTAGCCTCGCCTGCCACCGTAGACGCGAGCCCCCCTGACCCACCGTCCGGGTTTACAAAATCGTGTCGGGTCGATCAGGTCAACCCGATAACGCGACAGGCCGGGTTCAGGTTCGTATTTTTGACCCGTTTGCAAAAAAAAAAATTAAATATTACAAGAAATATTTTATGTTGTTTCCAAATCATTTATTTTCAACCAAAAGAGCAATTACACATTCCAACATAAAACATAAACATTCAAACTGTCACATGAAATATTTCTCTTACAAGAAAATAATTACACATCAACTATACAGATGTAAAGCGTTATAAAACTACACTTCACACTTCATCTAAAATTATCAAAAACTTGACAAGTTGAAAGGGCCGAGCTGGTCTCCAATTGGTTTTTCAGTAGAACGGCTCCAATCAAGTGGGTAGCTTAGCCATCAACTTTTTGAAAAAGGAGAATTGAATCAAATGTGATGGAAATTCAATATGCATTTATATATATTCTTTTTGGATAACAATCCAAAGTTTGAAAAGATGGTATGTTTCTTTAGCCAATCCTTTCATCAATCAACACAACATATTTCATTTGATGACAGGCTCTTAATTCCACAGTAGTCATGATTAAGTTGTTTTTATGACTTCTTTCAATTCATATGGGTTTTCATCATCTTGGTCCTGAGAGCTCCATGGCTTGAACCAGCAATGAAGAGTCGTCGGTGAGGTCGGAAAATCTCTCAGAAGAGGACAATTCCGGCATCTTGAACCGGTTAGGATCCGATCTCTGAGATGCCTCCCATCGCTCTGCAAGACCATCACCCTCCAGCATCCTCACCACCTCTGACATTTTCGGACGGTGACCGGGAAGGAACTGTGTGCATAGTAATGCCACTTTAACCATCTCTTCGAGCTCGATTCGATCGTAGTTGTTCTTCAAATCCTTGTCTATGAGCAGCTCAAGAGTCTTCTCTTGATTGAGCTTTTTAACCTGGACGAATAAACGATAAAATATTCATTGCACAATATTTCTGGACATTTGTGACTAGCTATGTGGCAGGATTGAACTCCTATTCAAAATCACTTGTGGCTTTGTATGGTTTGAAGGAATTGGATGAGGGAAATGAGAATGAAATGGAAACAGAAAATGAGTTGAATTAAAAATAGCTTTCACCTACTCTTTGATTGAGAAGAACTTATTTTTAACTTTTCATAAATTTTGGTTGGGAATTGCAATAATAAAATGACGTGTTAATATTTCTTACCCAATCAAGCATGGCTCCTTTCTGGTTTGCCGCCTTGCCGAATTCAAGAGCTCTCAGACCAGTAATCAATTCAAGAAGGAGGATACCAAAGCCAAACACATCAGTCTTCTCAGAAGACTGGCCAGTGGAGAGGTACTCAGGAGCAATGTGACCGACGGTGCCTCGCACCGCCGTGGTCACATGGGAGTCCTGGTGATCCAAAAGCTTAGCGAGGCCGAAGTCTCCAACCACGGCCTCGCAGTACTCATCAAGTAATATGTTTGCAGCCTTTACATCCCTGTGAATTATCTTGGGATCACACTGCTCATGTAGATATAAGAGGCCTCTTCCAGCTCCTAGTGCTATTCTCTTCCTTGTGCCCCAGTTCAGTGCTGGTTTTGCTGTGAGTTTAGTCAATCAGTATGAAAATAAAAAGAAAAAGCCAAAGTGATCCCAAACAGGTCTTAAGAATATGATGGTATTGAAAATTTTGAAGTAGCAAATTACCTTTCAGTCTTGAAGCTACACTTCCATTGGACATGTAGGGGTAAACCAGAAGCCTTTCAGTGGAAGTCATGCAAAAACCATACAACCTTAATAGATTCCTATGAACTGCTAAGCTTATCATCTCAACCTCAGTCTGAAACTGAAGCTCTCCACCTGTAGCATTTCTATCTTTTAACCTCTTCACAGCAACCACAGTTCCATCTTGGAGCTGACCTCTATAGACATTTCCAAAGCCACCTTTTCCTAATATGTTCTTGCTGCTAAAGTTATTTGTAGCAATCTGAAGCTCTCTAAATTGAAACATTTTCAAATTTCCAAGGCAGACCTCTTCCTTTCGCTCGGTTCTTTGATCTGTATGAATTTATTCAAAGGAATTCCTCTAAGTTTAAGCAAATAAATGATGATTTGGGTATTATGTAAAGTGTTTGGAGTGCAAGTTTATTAGATTACAGTTTCGTTTGAGACGGCTTTCTTACTGCTTCTTAAAACAGCTTTCGAGTATAAAAATTTTAATTTTTAAATTAAAAAGCTGTTTTAAGAAGCAATAAAAAAACCGTCCCAAATGAAGCCTAAATTTCTTTGAATCTATGCTTACCATTCACATCAAAGAATATTTGTTGTTGGCATTTATTCCTCCACCATAGAAAAAGTCCTGATGCTAGAATAATCAAAGATATTAAACCAATGCTAAGCCCACATACAAGAACAACTTTGTGACTTTTAGACCTTCCTGGTGTTGAAGAAACTATAAAAATAAAAATTGTAGATGTCAGCTATCAGAATAAGAACATTTCTTTAATTTTTAAAGAACAAAAAAGAAAAAAAAAATTCTCTCACAATTTTTAAGACAGACTACTTGAAGGGTTCTACACAATAACAATGAGTTGAAGCCATGTAGAATCCAAAAGAGAATATTACAATTTATTTATAGTCTAATCATGATTAATAATTAATAAAGATTTAAGCCTTCTCTACCGTAGCAAGAGCTTCCTCCTACTAAGAACTTCCGAGGAAATTTATTACTGAAAATGTACTCCTATAATGTTAGTAAAAAACTCCCAAAACAGAGAAAGGTGGGAGAACAGTTCATAATCATGATCCCATACAGAATTTGCTTTCAAGTATCTATTGATATAAGGAGCAAAATGAAGATGAACATGCAAAAACAATAATAATAATCATGTGAGAAAAGATATAATTAAGTACTTTGTGAATTATTGAGGTTAAAGAAAGTTGGAGTGGAAATGGTTCCGTAGCATTCTTTCTCTGAACCAGCTGCACAGATCAGAGGATTCCCCACAATGCTGAAGCAAAAAAAGAGAAACATAAAGTGAGGATAAGCTTTGTTGTCTATTTTTTCTATAGCTGAGATAGAACATAAAGTTATGGCTTGCAAGGAATCTTATATTACCTCATTGTGAATGTAAATTCTTACTTTTGCGTGTAAATTTAAATGATGATTCTTTGGATTCTGAATGAAAACTTACTTGAATGTCCTTGCAGGGAACTTTGGTATTGGCCCACTCAAATTGTTATATGACAAGTCTCTGAAATCATAAAGAACTGTCAATGCTACAGTATTATACTGCTATTCAAAGGATTCTGAAAAGGAAAAGCAACATGACTCACAGGAAGGACAGCTCTGTGATGTTAACTAAATTCCGAGGAAATGGCCCATAAAGACTGTTGTTGTTAAGCCTCCTTAAAACATTTCAATATATGGGTAGAAACCAAAAGAACAATTAATTGAGTTTTGGAAAGGGCAGGAATAGGAATGTTTCAGAACAAGATTTCTGATAGCAAACTTACAGGTATTGAAGTCTTGTTAGCTCTCCTAGTGATGCTGGGATTTCACCAGAAAGCTTATTGCAGGAGAGATCCAAGGTGCGAAGCTTTGCCAGCTTCCCAATCTCCTCAGGAATGAATCCAGAGATCTCATTGTTCTGCAACAGCCTGAAAGAAACATTTCTAACCTGAATTCTTGTCTGATTAACCAATTTTTCTGAAGATGAGCACTTACACTATCTCTAGATTAGTCAAGTTCCCTATGCTTGAAGAGAGTGAACCAGAAAGATTCTGACTTGGAGTTCCACTGCAAAAGTTGTCAAGATAAGAAGAGCTAATTCTAACAAAATTTAGAAAGAAATGGATAAGATGATAGGAAATCTTTAGTCTTTAATAGAACATACAGGCCAATGACAAGATTCTCAGATGAACAAGTGACCATTGTCCAGCTACATGGATCAACTGAATCCTTATCCCAATTTTGAAGAACACCATGAGGATCTTTCAAAGAAGCCTTTATGCCCATCAAAGCTTGAACTGAAACAGAGAAGAAATGTATTAAGAAAATCACTTGTATGAAACTCGTTGTTCTCATTAGATTATACCTTCAAAGTTGATTCCTTTAGGGGAGAGAAGAGCAACTGCAGACACCGAAGACCACAAGAAGACCAACAAAAAGAAAAGGACCCCATCTTTTTCCTTCCTAACTTCCATAAGCTTACAACCTTATAAGCAGCTACAAAGACTCTTTAATGTTCTTTGGAGCTTAAAAACACTATTTAATGGAGTCTGGTGAGCATTTATCTCCTTTCTCACTTCCCTTCAATTCTGTGGATTGGATGGGCGCTTGCGCTCAGTCATCCTCATACCTCTGAGGCCTGACAATAACCCCCAGACTGCGCTGTCTTGCTGCCCATATGTATGTAAAGTGTAAGGAGAAAGGAGGAGCGTGAGATGGCAAATATGCCTTCCACTAGATTTTGGCACTAGAAATAAGAACTACATAAAATACTGAGAAATCCTTTTGATTTTGCCGTAAGGAAATATTTAATTTTAATCCATGTTACAAGTCACTTATGAGTGTGTGAATAAATATGATATATTAATTTAAAAAAAAATTAAGGAGCTGTTTCTTGACATGTAATAAATTTTCAGCCTATTTTACATTTATTTTTTTATTTTCTCAATATTATATCCTAAAAAAAATCTGGTTGATGTTACAGTTAACTTATGAGTGTGTAATAAATCTAAAATTTAAGGGGGGAAAAATCTTTAATGAATTTTTGTTTCACTTGTAATAAAGTTTTAGCTATTTCTTTCTCTCTATATTAGTCAATTTATTTTATATTTTGTAGTAAATAATAGAAGTTCAAGTTCAGTACCTCCCTCAATTTTTTTTATCTTTAATGATTTTATGTTAACTCAAAGTTGATTTTAATTTAGCCAGATATTAAGGCTTCATTAGAGACGCCTTTTTTATTGCTTCTTAATAGAGCTTTTTATTACAAAAGTTAAATTTTGTAATAAAAAGCTGCTTTAAGAAGCAGTAAGAAAGCCATACCAAATGAAACCTAAGTCAATGAAGATATTGAGGTTTGTATTTTGTTTTATGAGCAAAGCTTTACTAAAAGAAATCAATAATAAAAATAAATTTGGGCCCATTTTATTTAAATTGCCTAATTATATTCATAAATAGTTATGCATTGCATTTTCTCATAATTTTTTTATTCGGCCAAATGCCAGAATCAAAATTTAATTTTTGTGTAATGTTTCCTAGAAGGACAACTTCAATCATGCTGAAGGCTGATAGCATGTTGAGTTCAACTAATTTTGGCTCGATTTGATTTTAATATTATTATGTTTAGCTCTATTTATGATTGGAGTAGCTCCGTTGGAAGATATGATTAGAGAGAGTTGCCTTAGATGGTTTGGTCACATAAAACGGCGGCCTTCCGATGACCAGATTAGGAAAGTAGAAGTATTAGATTTGACTTAAGTTAAGATAGGTAGAGATAGACCTAAAAAGATTTGGTATGAAAATATTAGAAATGATGTTTCTTTATTAGATTTAAACGAGAATTTGACTTTTAACAGAACGCAACGGAGTAAAAGGATTCTTGTTGCCGATCCCACGTATTGGGACAAAGGCTTGATTATGATATTTTTGTTGTATGTTTAGCTCTATTCAAATGTATACGAATCAATCAATCAGACATAATCTCCTTTAAGAATACCAACTAACTAAATAACTTTTTCAAATGCCGTCATTCAATAATTTCAAGGCAATTATTGTTAGTACATGTTGGAATATTTCAATGATAGAGAAAAAGTTAATGTTCAAGCTTCAAATAAAGATCTCACACATATGAGCTACAAACACTTATTACATGATAAGGGAAAATTTCATGGCTTGAAAGATTTGAATTATATTTCATTAGTTTTAGATCTAGCATATAGTGGATCGCCTATTCCCGAATTTGGAGAACCCATTAGTACAACTTAAGAAATTGAAATTATGGTGAATGCTACATATTGTGGTGCTGGAAATATCTTAGACACATTGATATGGACATCATTGTACTATATAATGTCAATTACTTTCTACTATATGTGGGTGGGGATCAAATGATTTAAGAGTTAGAGGGTAATTAGAGGCACCAAGGCAGGACTACTCAAAGTTAGAGGATGATTGTAGATGACTAGGATAGCCCCTAATTTAGTATCATTTGTATATGTACCATAAAGATCAACCATATAAGTTATGCTAAGAAGGCAATAACTTATTCTCCTAGTTTTTTTTTTTTCTTTTTCTTTTTTTTAAGGAAAAAGAATAATTAGGATTAAAGAGTAAGTTACAACCATTTACTAGTACTTATATTGCAAGTAATATTATAAATTATTTTATTATTACTTATAGTTTTGTCTCTTTGTATTTATATGGCTTTTAAAATTCTTAATGTTGTGAAACTTATATACAACCATGAAAATCTTGGTTGTAGGTGCATTATTTTCATAATATAATTGGAATTAATCTATTTTCTTCCAAACATAACTTGGTGATAAGTTTGCTATTTTTTTCGTAAGCTAGGTTGAGATTAATACCCATATTTTAGTGAGAAAATAATTATTTGATTATTTTTAGGCAGTGCTGTTTAAGGCTATAACATGACTTAATCAATTGTTTTCATAACTTTGGCTAAAGGTTGTGCTAGTGAAGATCAAGTGGTGCAAAGCTTCCATTAAAATTGATAATTGAAAAAGTGCTTGTTGCAGTGATCAAAGCCAGCTCAAAATCAAGATCCATAATTTCTTTGCTTTAGCTGTGCACCTTCAAGATCTATTTAAACATGAGATTTCTTATATGTATATCTCAAATCATAAGATATTTTCATGTAATCCATAACCTAAAGCTTTACTTAATTATATATTGATATGATAAAAATTTTCATTTATTTCTTCGTTTCTTTAAATACCTTTAAATAAACAAAATAAAATACTTCTTTTTTATACATAATACTTGCATTCCTCATATTGCCTCCTAGGCTGCCCTTGATCTTAATGAGCTTATTTTAAAAAAATGAACTTTTTATATTGGATGAAGCTTTTCGTACAGTACAAAACTTAATTCTTTGTATTATTATTTATCTACTATGGAACCTAAAATCAAGGGGTCGAATCAAAGTAGATATCATAATGTACGACCTTAATTGTACATTACAAATAAATAGAGAGCTTGTTAGAATAATTTTTATTTGGACAAGATGCTCGATTGCTCTGAGTCCCCAAGATTGTGCAGTTTATGATGTACAATCATAATCATATAGTCTAAATTAATAGAGAGCTTGTTTGGATGAACCTCCTTTAGACATGACAATTTAATTAGTTCCTTGAGTTAACATCATTGAACATATTATATTGTATGATCCTTACATCGTACTGCATGATCAACCCATGAAATTAACTATATCAAGATTTTCAGGGTTTGATTAAAGGGGCTCATATAAATACTCATCTTAAGAACAAAAAATGTCCCTCTTGCGAGAGAGAGAGAGAGAGAGAGAGAGAGAGAGAGAGAGATTCCTTAGATTCTAGAAGAGCCTTTTGCAAGCCTTATACTAAAGGTTGACACTACAGAAAAATCGATCATTACCAGTATATTTTTCGGTAGAAAATTGTGAAGTTTTCAGTGGATTTTAAAATTTTTTGGTAAATAACCGGAGGAATTTTTTCAAAAGCTAAATCGAGCGCAGGTGAAATTTGCCGTCGAAAAACCTCTGTCGAAAAAATTTTCCTGTAGATTTTTTTCACCGGAAAAAGCAACCGGAATAGTTAAAAATAGACCGCCTACCTGCCCACCTGCCCGAGCGAGCTCCACCCACTGCCCAAGCGAGCTGTCTTTGTGATGCCCTAGAATCTAATTTAAAAGAATTATTCTTTTAATATTTTAATAAATAACACCATAGCTATCTAATATCCTCTATGAGCAATAGACAATATAACAAATTCTATAAACTAAAATATCATTATACATAGCTATTTTCAATTCCAAAAATCATATAAACTACTTAAGATCTACACAATCAAATCATAACTACTCTGTCATGAGTACAAAAATAACTTATATAAAAAAAGAATCTGAATATGAGGATTCTTGACCAGTCTCAAACTCCTGCTCCTTTGTCCTAACCTGAAATCAATTAACCACATGTAATGAGCTTAAAAAGCATAGCATGTCATCAAAATCTACAATTAAAATTAAAGTATGTAAACGAGCAATATGCATTTCAACAGTCATATCATAACAGTTACATTTATATGATCATTAAATCAGTGTAGAAAAAATAAAACTCACATGCAATAGCAGTAAAATTTGTAAATAATAAAACACTATGATATAGAAGTCAGTAAACTGGTAAACGAGTATGGGAGTTAAATCTATAAAGAAATCATTATATACGTACAAAAATCTGATAAACCATCAAATCCTAATATTAATAAAGACTGTTAAAATCATGTCAATGTAGTAAAACCATATAAGAGTGTACACTTGCTATCTAGTTCATCTATATCACATACTCAATATATCACATGCATAATATCAATATAGTAAATTAGTACTATCTAATAGTATCAGTATCTATATCAGTAGCAGTAACAATCTAGTGGTAGGAGCAGTAAAATTATACAATAATAATAAATTCATACAATAACAATGAATTCTTATAATAATAAGAATAATGCGTCAAAAATAAGTATTTCATTAGTCACATTAAACAAGTAAGAAGTCTTGGCTATCACGATGTTTTTCAATATTATATTAATATCAATAAATCGTTGGCTTAGTAAATAGAGTCATCATCCTTTATCTATTGGCATAATAATCATCTATTTATAACTCCCAATCAGTATTATGTGAATCAGTAGAGGTTAACACCAAACCATAATATTTAATGAAAAGCCCGTCGGCCCACCATCTTGTACTGGTCAATTAGTCTCCAACCAACGGGTCAACTAGTATTTACTTGTCTTTTACACACACAGTAGTATCACAATACAATAACAATAATTTTAATCATATATCCACAATCATTTTCAATGCATTGCAACAAACAAAAATAATTAAGCTTAATTTCAAAAATACCCAAAATTAAGTTATAACGAGAGATAAAAAAAATCCTATTTGGTAAAATTTCACATTTTGAGAAAATCAACAAATTATAAGGGATTGTTTAAAATGATGTTTTAAGATTTTTATTGTAATACACTATAATTTTTAGACGTCAAAATAAATTTTTGGGTGGATAAAAATCATAGAATTTTTAAAATCATCTGGTGAAAAATATCAAATAATTACTCAAAATGCTCATAATCATGATCTCTATAAGATACAAAAAGTTAAGCGGTGAAAATTTTGTCAATACAAAGTTATTCATATTTTCGATAACAAAAATACAAATTTGTTCACAAAAAT